AAACCCCTAAACCCCTACACCCTATACCCCTAAACCCCTAAACCCCTAAACCCCTAAACCCCTAAACCCTAAACCCCGAAACCCCCAACCCCCAAACCCCTTAAGCCCTAAACCCCCAAACCCTAAACCCTAAACCCTAAACCCCTAAACCCTGAACCCCTAAAACTCTAAACCCTAAGCCCTAAACCCCTAAACCCGTCCTGGCCCTTGAAGGACAGAGCCCCCGTCTGGGCCACAAAGCTGGTGTTGGGCCCACAGTCCTGCAAGCAGTCTTGTCGGTGAGGCAAAAAAAGGTTTAGGGTTTAGGGTTTAGGGTTTTAGGGTTTTAGGGCTTTAGGACTTTAGGGTTTTAGGGTTTAGTAAGGCTTCAGGGTTTTAGGTTTTAGGGTTTTGAGGTTTTAGGGTTTGTTTTTGGTTTAACGGCTTGCTTACCTTTTCAGCGCCTGTTTTTACAGAAAAAAGAGCCGGGTCCTCAGGTTGCCGAGAGACCCGAACAAATTGGACCTTTGAACCCCCAAAAACCCACAGCCCGGAAACCTCAAACCGTAAAACCCAAAGCACTATGCCCCGACGCCCTAAAGCCCAGGTCGCGGTCCACGTGGTAGGCCAAAGGCGGGTCGATCAAGGCCGAATCGTCCGCGCTCCGCGCGCTCGCCAAGCGGAAGCCACTCGTGGGGCGGCCCATCGTCAGGTTCACCTGGGCTTTTGGACTAGAGTCTACAAGGCTTAGGGTTTAGGGGTTTAGGTTTAGGGTTTACGTCCTAGGCTTTAGGGTTTAGAGTTTAGGGTTTAGTTGGGGCTTTGGGTTTACAGGTTGGGGTTTTGGGTTTAGTTTAAGGCCCTGTAAAATCTAAGAAACCCTGAACAATAGAAACCCTGAGCTCTATTAACCCTACACTCTTTAAACCCAAAACCCTACTGTAGGGGCCTTAATAATTAGAATAGGGTTTTGGGGCCCAGTATACTATAACTATAACAAGGAACCCCCAAAATAGTATAGGTAATTATTTAGGCCCCTCCATTATATCGACCCCGTTGCTTCGTCCACGCGAAGCCAACGTCGGTCTTCCCGCACCACGAAGAGCTCCGAGGCCTCGTTGCCGGCCACCAGAACGACATCCGTGGAACGCGTCACCTCCGTGCAGTTTCCTGAGCACTTCTTTGGACTTTCTTTGGAAATTGTTACCTAAACCCTAAACCCTAAACCCTAAACCTGGCTCCTTCTCAATAATCAACTACGAAAAAAACTAACCAAAACCTGTCTTCCAGAGCAGTCAAAGCTCCAGAGGCCTCATCCATACAGCCTTTGGCGCTCACCTTGGGCGGGTTTGGGACAGATTTCGGGAGAGTTGATGCATGTGGAGAAAGCGGGGTCTTAACATCTTGTGTAGGTGTAATTATATATCTACCTTGCTAAATATATATATATATATATATACACACACATACATTTTTACATATATACATACATGCTTGTATGCATGTACAGGTTAGATTAGATTAGATGCATGTATTGGAAGACTTGCAACACCTGCGGCAAGACCAATGGACTGCAAACCTTCTCTTGGAGTCATCAACCTTTTACAATCAGTTCAGAGTTTAGGGTTTAGGGTTTAGGGTTCAGGGTTCAGGGTTGAGGGTTTAGGGTTTAGGGTTGAGGGTTTAGGGTTTAGGGTTTAGGGTTATGGTTTATAAGCGTTTCGCGGAAGGACTGGGGTGTGTTTGGCTTGCTTAGACGCACAGGTTTAGGGATCCTTTTGGGGTTTATGGCTCAGCAAAGGAGCGGTGCATTCCCCGGTTCTTGGCATCGGGTTGGAGCTTGTCTGAGAGATGCGGCCCGTGGCCTCACAAGGCTGCAAGGGACACAAGCATTCAGCGCTTGCAGTTCCGTGAGAGCAACACCCTACACTCTAATTAAAGCCCTAAATCTAAACCAACCCTAAACCTAAGTCCCGAAAGCCCTGAAGCCTAAACCCTGAACCCCCAAAGCCACAAGCCCTAAACCCCTACAGCCCCAAAAGCCTTAACCCCTAAAGCCCTGAAGCCCTGAACCCCTAACACCCTCACTCCGAACCCCCCAAACCCTCAGACCCTGAACCGCCACAGCCTTAAAGCCCCAAACCCCTAAAACCATGGAAGCATGATGAACCCTGAACCTCTAAAGCTTTACACCCTGAAAACTCTACGGCTCTAAAGCCCTAATTAAACCCCAAACCCTGAACCCCCAAAACCCCCCTGCACCCCCAAAAACCTGCCTCCCAAAACTCCCAAAACCCTGAACCCAAATCCCTAGGCCTAAGCCCGCCCTTAAAGCCCCAAGCCCGTAAGCCCTAGAACCCTAGACCCCTCATGCGTAAGCCCAAAGCTCTGTTAAAAAGCCCAAATCCCTGAACCCGTCAAATCCTGACCCCTATAGGCCTCGCACCCTGAGCCCACAAACCCTCAAGCCCTTGAACCCTGAAGCCTCCAAAAAAAAAAACGCCCCGAAACCCTGAACCCGTAAACCCCTCAAACCCTGAACCCCTACAACAACCGTCAAACCCTGAAACTAGAAACTCCTAAGCTCCTCAAACCCTGAACCCCGACACCTCGAACCCGCTCAGGCCCCAAGCTCTAAACCCCAAAGCCCCAAAGCCCCAAAGCCCCTAGACCCAGAAGATCCTCTTAGCTTACAAACCAGGGCCCAATGATGGCCTTTATGGCAGTTAGGATTGGGGGACCCTTGGGGATACAGACCCTCTCAATAAGGTCCCTTTTATGAGAGCCATGGAGTAGGGTTAAGAAGGGTCTCCCCAGTACTACCGAAGGTATGGTAACGTTGTGGTCCAGGGTTTAGGCTTATGGGCGTTTAGGCTTCAGGGCTTTGCACCCGGATCAGGGCGCTGTGAACCAGAGGATGCATTTCGTCTCACTGGTGTGGAGAGACCCGGCCTTAAACCCTAAACCTTAGATCAAAAACCCTGAGCCCTAAATCTTGCTGTATCATGAAGCATGACTACCCGGGAACTTCAGTGAAAACGTTTACCACTTATTCCTAATAACCTAATACCTTCACGGAACCCTATATACACAGTCAGTCCGAAACACGAAGCCCTAAACACCGAGAACCTAAACACAACAACCCTAAACCTCAACCCCGTATAAGACCCTTGAAGGAACCCTGCTATTATGATCGGCAGCCCTAAGGAATAGTATCAACCTGGCCTAGATCCCTAACATCCTAAAGCCCTATAGCCCAAAACCTTTGCACCCTTAACCCCTAAACCCGAAGCCCCTGAACCCTGCGAAGCTAAACCCAATCCCTAACAAACCCCTCAACCCCTTAACCTCTGAACCCTAAATCCCAAACCCCCCAAAATCCTAAACCCCTAAACCCCCAACACCCTCAACCCCTGAACCCCCTCTTGTGAAACTAAAAAGCCCGTTAAGGATTCAACTATGCTACCCTATTCTTACATGAAGCAGTCCTCATAGAACCGTCATAGACCCCTTTCAAGAACCCTTTGAAAGACACCTACCCTCACTAAACCCCGAAATACCCCAAACCCGTACCTGGACCCTAACTTACCTACCTCTTGGGCTTCTATACAGAAACCATAGTACGGAAACCTAAAATGGTAGGCTTTTTCGTGTCCAGTCCAGATAGCCTCTCCTCCCAAACCCCTAAACTTTAAACCTAAACCCCTAAACCCCTGAACCCCTAAACCCCTAAAACCCTACACCCCTAAACCCCTAAATACCTAACCCCTAAAACACCTGAACCCCTAAACTCTAAAGCCTAAACCCCAAAAACCCTAAACCCATAAACCCCTAAACCCCTAACCCCTAAAACACCTGCACCCCTAAACTCTAAAGCCTAAACCCTAAAACCCACCCAAAACCCCCCACGCTTTGTCCCCCAAACCCCCACGCCTTGTCTATGCCAGCCCAGGGCAGATCCGGCGTGCAGCGCAGCCGGAAGTCCTGGTAGCGGCCCTGAAAACCTCAGAGCGCTCCAATAGGGCTCCTTTTTAGGGGGTTTTAGGGCTTAGGGTTGAGGGAGTAAAAGGGTAGTATAAGGGTTCCTTTCAAGGGATCGATTGGGGTTTTAGGGTTTAGGGCTTAGGGGGTAAATGGGTGCTATACGGGTTTCTTTAACGGGGATCGGTCACGGTTAAGTTTTTGCAAGGGTTCTGTGGGGCTTTGGGCTTTAGGTTGGGTTGAGTTGCGGATCCAGAGGGGGGTCTTGGATTTTCGACTCATGGTTTAGGATTTAGGGTTTAGGGGCATTGAGTTTGGGGCCAAACGCCAAGTCCGAACGTGTAGCCCTAAAGCCGTATAAACCCTAAAATGCGAAAGCCCCGCAACCCTAAATCAAAACCCTGTTTAAACCCTGCTTAGCATGGAGAGAACTGCTCATTCCCGGTGCACCGGACTCGAATTCCGAAGAGCCGGATGTGGACATGCGAAATAGCACAGCAAGCGGCGCTATTATCATCCTCGTGATCATGGCACGTTCTGATTCTCTGAATATAATGATGATTATGGCTAAACCCTAAACCCAAAACCCTAAACCCAAGCTCGCTTCTCGACTGACAGAACTGTCATGGCCTCACTTCGCTGAGGAACCTGGAAGGAAGCTCTGGTTCAGCTCGGTGAAGGTCAGGACGCTTTGCGAATATGCGAAGTGGGCGATGTGAACCTCTCTTCTTCAATAACCGGACCCAAAAAGTTATAAGCTCCTACGTTGAACAAGATAGATAGATAGATAGATAGATAGATAGATAGATAGATAGATATAGATACATATATATATATATATATAAAGCCAAAAGGTTTTAAGTTCTCAAATTGGCTATCTAAGGAACTTGTAAAGTTGCAGAAGTACCTGCCCCCTTGCGGCTGTCGCTGGCGATCTCGCACGAGATGGACTGGGGCTCGTGGGTGGAAATCTCCCCAAACACGTGCCCGTTGCGGCTGTCCATAGTCAAGTTCATGCTGTGGAAGGCGCAGTTCTCCGTGACATAGGTGACATCCAGTCTTGGGATGGGGAGCGCAGACACCTCAGTGCTCGTTTTGGAATAAATGCAAGGTATCCCCACCCTCTACACCACCTAAACCCTTACAGAAACCCTAAACCCTAAACCCCTTAAAAGAACCCTAAACATCCTAAACCCTAAACCCCTTTAAGGAACCCTAAGTCGTAAACCCCTTTAATCCCTTAGAGGATCTACATCCCTGTAGCCAGGAAGAGTGCTGAGGCTGGCACTGCCGTTTTCCCACACGGGATGTGCACTGCGGGATAACTGAAAGGCACTTCCTGGCGACTGCCACCGCCACCTGGGTTGCTATAGGCTTACGGTTGAGGTTTTAGGGTTTAGGGTTTAAATAGGGTTTAGGTTTTAAACACAAAGAAGTGAACTTAGCAAAGTTGCCATAACAAAGACTTGCTTCATAGGGCCATAGGGCTTTCAGAAGGCTGTATAGGGAATGTAGGTACACGGTGCCAATGATCTTATTTTGAGTTACCACACGCTACATATACACAAATATCTGCAAATCCATACCCTCATGATCTGACTCGTTCTGTCACAGCCAAGCCACAGGCGCAGCAGGCCTCACTGGCGGACATTCCGCTGTGCACACGCTCGGCGTCTACCAAGTGGTCAGCTCTGTTGTTCGCCTTGATCTGCCCTGCTGCGCAAGAGTTGCCATCCACGTAATCTTGACAGCCGAAGCCCCATGAGTCTTGCCATGGAATGTCACTACAGAGCTTACATGTTGTCTGGTTGCCGTCCTTGGGAACGTATGGAGCGAAGCCGGATGCACATGAGGAGCATGAGTCCGTGGCGGCGTCATACTCGACACAGCCCGCACAAGCAAGACTTACTGCAGGGCAGCACTGCTGGTAAACCTTGCCCTCGCGGAAGTTGTTCAAAAGCATTTCATGCTTGGAGCACTCCAACGGCACGTCACTCGCGGTGGCACCACGAATGTACTGAATCGTCGAAGTAGGCTTCACCACCCCCGCTTGTGTAGCTTCTAAGAGCATCGTGTCTGGTTTGCACTCCCTGTGTTCCTTGGCTAAACATCCGTGCACACCAGGGAACAAGTCAAACACCCTAAACCCTAAACTCCTAAACCCTCAATGGCTCTGATCATCTTTGCAAGCGAAAGTCAAGACCCGGCAGCGTTCGCAGTGCCCACCAGGGAAGAGAAAAGTTTGTCGCGGCGGGCAAAGGGGAAGGCGCATGCTCCTGGCAGCAGACCTAGAAGTTGTATCGTAAACCCTACAACCTAAAACCTAAAATCCTGAAATCCAGAACCCTAAACCCAAACCCGAAACTGGTAGGGGTCTCATTTGCCCCGGAGGAAGACGATTAAGTGCTGCACAGGTTTAGAAGCTTTCCGCTTTAGCCCACTAGGGTTTCGGCCTTAAAGGAGTTTTACCATGTGGGTTGTTCTCTGAATCTGTTTAGGTGCCTAATGTAGTACTTAGTACGGCACCCAAATCATAAAGACCCTAAAAAGGGGACCCTAATTTAGAGAACTACCCGTTTAGAGTTCGGGGTTTCGATTTGGGCCGAAACCTGCGCTTATGTTCTGGCCATAAACCACAAACTGCCAGGGGTTTAGGGCTTAGGGTTTGGTGTTTAGGGTTCAGGGTTCTTCCCAAGCCAACCTTCGTCCATTTTAGTGAGTAGGGCTGCCGGGTCTAAGATTCAGTGCTTAGAATTGGGTGTTTTAGGGTTTCGGGTTTAGGACCCGCTTCAGTCTGCTTAAGACTTACGAGCTCTCCGAAGCCAAGGAAATGTCTACCAGACTTCTGTGCTCCCCGTGAAGTAGTACGGGGAACATCCCGACGATTCAAGCAGCTACTAAAGTTTACTAAAGCCCTAAACCCTAAAACCTAAACGCTTTCTGTCATGTGCTTGGCTCAAAGTTCGATCCAGCAATAGCAATCAGAACTACATGAGTGATAGTCCCCCCCTGTTGCCCCTATTGAGTTGTGCTACGGAAAGACCCGAAGTCCTGTTCCAATCATGAAAGCCCCGATGGCAAAGCTTGATCGCAACCCCCAGGGTTCCTGTTCAGCCTGATAAGAGCCTTAAGCGGAACCCTTGTAGGGATCCTTTAAAGGGATCCTTTAAAGGGATCCTTTAAAGGGTCTTTGGAGGGATCCTTTAGAGGGATCCTTTAAAGAAATCCTTTTGCAAGTTGCAACTACCAAGGCTCCCATATACAAACCATACTAAAACCCTTGTTATAGAACGCTCAGTTAACCCCGATGTACAAAGCCCTAAATGCTACACCCTTTGAAGAAGCCTTTTCCTAATGATTAAGGCCCCTTTCGGAGATACGCCGTTGAAGAACCCTTTAAAAACCCTAGACCCTGAACCCTAGAC